TTTAGCGTTAACTTGAGGCTTTTGCAAGAATGAGTTGCAGTTCTGTAGATGTTCATCACATGACGAACTAAAAGTCAGCTCATCTTCGCCCGAAACGTTGGAGGATATCTCGTGGACTGCATCAACCTGAGCGTCAAATTACGACCAAACAGCTACAGTACAACGCGAATCAGCCGACGTCTTCTGGTGAGATTGACCTAAGAAACTATTCATCCTGTACTTCCATATGAAATGAAGCTGTTCACATTCATCTTATCTCAAGAGATTCTTCGAAATCCGCATTTTCTCTGTAAGCCTTATCCTGCTATTGGCTGAGAAGTGAGTAGGTTGGCTTTAGAGCCCAAATATGTGCGAAAATGACAACAAGAATCTCCCAACTGACAAAGGAGGCAAGGCACAATCGCAAGTTGAAACCGAGTCAGGCCTGAGGCAGCCATTGACGTCATTTTCGTCACTTTGGCAGAAGCCTGACTCCGAGTCCAAGACAGGCAGACGGACTCGAGGCACCAGCTTGCATCCCGTCGGCTCCGACGTCAGCAGTGAGCCAGAACAGGTCGCTCATGCGGCAAAGCAAAACTAAACAACCCTTCAGGACAGATGCGAAGAGAGAGCTCTACACGCGATTTCACTCAAGCCTGACGACTTTTTTGTCTAGAAAACAGCCTCAGCAGAAAAGTTCCAAGATTGCACTTTTTTCACCACATTCGTCTTATAACCGAACACCATCTACACACACATTCCACACATCATTCCTATCATGCTTTTCATAAATCTTCAACTCACCACTCATACACCACCCACACATTATCCATTCTTCATCTTTAGCTCATCCACACACCATCACCAAATCAATCCGCCCTACGGCACACATGATACATCCACAGTCAATAGGACATCCGAACATTTTCCACGCTTGATATACACTCCATATTTACATCATCTGTACATCATCAATTCGAAATACACATATCACCCACTCAATATCAACAGACAACAATCAAAGCCATAGAGAATTGCGACACCAATTGGAGGAAATAACCTGCAAAATCTCCTTTCGCTAAATGGTACGTTTCATTTCATTTTACTAATTGGCTTGTAGGGCTCGACAAATTGACGTCACCGGAAGCCGAAGAAGGATGCTTTTACACAAGAGCTGCATTCCCCTTATTTCGTTTAAGGTGTTAGCTGAATTTTTTCACAATCACATCTCCTTCCAATTTCACATAAGCTTGCTTCCCAAGAGGCATTTTCCTCCAGGCAGGACTGAACAACAGATTAAATCTCTCCTGAACTGGTCTCATCAGCACCAGCAACGGGACTCGAACCCTGGTTGTGGTAGACCTGAACTGATCTAATCAGTTCAGGAGAGGCCTAATCTGCAGTCTACTCCTGCCTGAATGGGAAAACATTTTGGGGAGCATGTGGGGCCATGTGGGGCCCATTCATCTGATTGTGTGAAAATTCAACTATCACTTCCTCATCACCTTAAACGAAAATATCTTAGATCTACGAGTAGTCTCGAAAACAGACTTATGAAATGTAAATATTTGTATATGGTTCTAAGCGTTAGTTTGTACGAAGAAGTCTTTTGTGCTACTCATGTGAGTCCATGTTGAGCTTTTGTCAGTTCTTGCTTGACATGCATGATGATAGCACGTGAAGATGAGACAAATGTAGATGCAACGAAAATCAACCACTTTGGGTTTTGATTTTGATGAATTATATGGAAAAATACTTCTATCATTTGACGAACTTTGTCAACCATTCCGTTTCATTTAAACAAAAGCCTACAACGATGTCAAATTATGTAGGTCTTCTTCAGGCTCCAGATTTGTTTCGTTTATACAAAATATCCTCCCTCTTTCTAACAATAGAAGTAGATAACTCGGGTACATTTGCTTGACAAGTGCTGTCACGAGGCGCGTCTAGTTGCTCATCTGGTCCTGTCAGACGTCTGAGAACCATCTCTCTCCTGGCACTGACCAGTATTGGGGGGGGGAGTTCGTCCTTGTAGGTACACCTGCTTTACCCGTAGCCTTCAGCCCCGTCCGAGGCTCAAAAATGTCGAGACTTTAATCTCTCTTGAGCCACTTTTCACGTCTTCCTCCTCGTCTGGGTTTTTCATGCAGGAGTGGTTTTTTAACATTTTTGGTATCCATGTTCCACCAAAATGGGGCCCTGTTGTCTTTGATCCTGAGCTTGAAAGCATTCCTTGTTGAAGCAAATCGCGATTTCTGCCCTGTCGAGTGATGAGAACCAAGAAATAGATGACAAAAACAACGGAGATCGAGTACAGGCGATGCTTGGCGAAATTCGCTTCGTAACCCACGAGTATGTGGTTCCACCTCAACTTCTTCTCTTCATTCACTTCATTGACATTCCATTCTAATCGCCCCTCTCAATCTCATTATCATATAATCATAGTCACACAAATTCAACTCTTCCTCCTACAACTACTCCACCTCGTCCTATTCATTCTCCTTCTCTTTCTCCTCCGCTTTCTCTTTCTTCTCCTCCTTCTCCTTCTCCTCCTCCTTCTATTACTACAACAACAACAACAACTACTACTACACCTTCTTTTCTTCTTTCTCCTTCTCTTTCTCCTCCTCTTTCTCCTTCTCATCCTCCTCCTATTACTACAACAACAACAAAAACTACTACTACACCTTCTTTTCTTGATTCTCCTTCTCTTTCTCCTCCTCTTTCTCTTTCTCATCGTCCTTCTCCTTCTCCTCCTCCTCCTATTACT